TACTATATTATAACAATTTAGTAGAGACATTTCTTGGTGCAAGAGGACGGCGTCACAGTCAATTTTCAAGAACCTTCATTACCCAAATAATTATGGATTRTTTTTAACGAGCTATAGTGTTTTATTAAAAAATTGTAATATTTTTGAATAGAGAAGGAAAAAGAGAAAGAGAGAGTGAGAAAGACTAAAAGAGAGCAATCCCCTCCGTGGTATATAATAGGGGACATAGTATATAATATACCACAGATTTGTATTTATTAAAAACGTTTTGAGATGTAAAAATATTTATARTAATATTATAAATAGGAGAAACGATTTGGTTTTTAGTATATTTGTACTAATAGACTTCGTATATAACATATTTTACAGCATATTTCTTCTCAAACTATAATATATACAGGTTAGGTAATATWTAGATATCATAATGAAAATAATAATATTATAATATATTTAATAATTTCGGCATGATTATTTTCCTCTAGAAATGACCGATAATAAGGCGGAAATTGTATCGATTTGTATATATTTATTATATTATATRCTTACCTATACTGTTATTGAATAATACTCCGCTGTTTTCTATTCACCGATGACATTATTATATTAATATAAATTATAAATAATAAATACCGATTTATTGCAATTGGTTTTTGTCGGATATTTTAGATCGTGACTATCTATGACACGTTTTAAAGTGCTATCAAATTTAACCAGCATCGAAAGAATGACCTATAATTATGTTTTGTTAATAGGCGAGTTCTCTGTAAAGTTGAAAAGCGAAAGTTTAGGCAACAAAATAATAGGTATAGGTTTATACAAATTAATAAAAATACCTTTTCGTAAACTGCAAGTAGTAAATGATTCGTTCATCGAGTTGAATTATTATAATAATTAAATACAGAAATAATAGGAATATTGAGTTGTTTATTTTTATTTAAAATCACTGTATTTCGGGATCAAAAAATAATCAACGTGATAATGTATCTATATAATATATATGAACACGTTTTTTATTTAATGGATACTTTTTAAAATTAACAGGAAAATGCTAAGTTTATGGCAATCAATACTTTACCTAGTTACTTCATTGCTAAACTATAAAACACACAATCTCGTTAACT